ACTTGAATAGCTTGATTTGAAAAACCAATTAAAAGTGTGATTTGGGGCAGTTGACTCATAATCCATTTAACATTCAACCATTTGAATATATCCTCATGTTTCTCTCTGTATGAAGTTGTGAATGCATCTTTACTTGGTAAATGCTTGAGGAATATAAACAGAAGAGTAAAATGGATAGCGTCACTCTTCTCTCGTCCCCAAGGATCAATCAGCTTTCTTCAGAAGAAACAGGGACAAAGAACTATGGCTATGAATTCAGAATTAAAGCTTTGGATAACTCCTCAACTGAGTGCTAATCTGAAATTTGAAAATTTTGTTTGGATAGCAAAATTTTGAGAAGAGCTTTTGACTCAAAAACTAGGCTAGGTTCAGGCCAAAAAAAAAAAAAACCCAGGTTAGGTTTTTTCTTTTTTTGGACCAACAGGGAAATACTGATATCATTGAACGCAAGAAGAAACAAAGTCTAATAGCAAACAAAAGTCATAAGCCTAGAGGCAAAGACCGAGCTACAAAACAGACTAATTACAAAAGCAGACAAATTAGCCAATTCCTGCTCTATCCCTGTTGGTCATAGGTTGAGCATTGCCACTTGAAACCGGTTGCAAGTCTGAGCTAAGGATGCTGAGGAGAGAGGGTGAAGGTTGAAGAAGATATCCCTCAGCCACCATCCCCCTAAGCAAAAGGGTTGCAATTGAGTCTGCAGCAAAGTTGCCTTCTCGTCTTGTAAAAGAAAGACTCACATCAGAATAGGATTTAAGTTTGTTCAAAACATCACTAAGCATATTATGATAAATCCATGGACAGCATGATATATTCCCATGAAATAAGATATTAAACAAAGTCTTACAATCTGTTTTGATAATCACATGGTTAGAATAGAAGTCTTGCGTCAGAGCCACTGCTTTGTTTACATGCTTTCAATTCAGCCAAAAAACTTGAATCTGTAGTGACTTTTTCAATCCATCCTTTCAAGAAAGTGCCTTGAGAATCTCTACAAATCACCCCTATGCGAGCAACTGTAGAGGTACAGAAAGCCCCATCACAATTGATTTTGATAGTATTACTCTGTGGAGGCTCCTACTTTGGATAAACGGGGGAATGATTGCCTTGCTCATCCCTTGGGGAAATGATTGCCTTGCTCATCTCTTGGATAAACACCGCGTGCTCATCTAAGAGATGAGATCTGGATCGTTCTGATTTTAATTTAAACGGTCCAAATTTAAAATATTATTTTATATTAATTTATTAAAATAAAAAATTATGCAAATTATAAAATAATTTTAATAAATTTTTTATTTTTAATATGATCTAGATTTAATTTAGAGGCTCTAATTTAATGTTAAAATTTTTACAATTGAATTTTTTAAATTTTTAGATATACTATGTACAGTTCAGATATTATATTTGAACTGCTGGACTGAGTAAAATTCATATGAATAATTAGTATGCATCAATTATAAAAATTTTAATATTAAATTAAACCCTCTAAATTAAATATAGATCAAATAAAAATTATAAAAATTATTTTATAATTTTAATAAATTTTTTATTTTAATAAATTAATATAAAATATATTTTAAATTTGGACTGTGCAGATCTCATCTATGAGCACCACGTGCTGCAGTGCTCATCCAAGAGGTGAGCAAGGAAACCGTTCTGGATAAATGGCAGGATCAATAGGAGCATCATCATTATCACCCTTATACTTATGCCTCCAGAGCTCCAGGACAACAGCTTCAATAATGCTAATGACTCAAACAGGATTGAGTTCAGCCCCTTTAAAAATTGATGCACAATGCGTTTTTCTAATATTCCATAGTAAGCATGCCACATATGCCAAATTCATCAAGTGGACTGGATCTGCATAGAAAATATGAACATCATCTTGCTAAGGATTGAGTTTGTGATATATCCAGCTGAAAGGAAAAAGGGCAACCAACCCAAATTCTGTAGGTCCAATCGCATCTGAAAAATAGGTGCTCAATTGATTCTGGGTAAATTTTATAAATTGGATAGAGAGGATCTGGTGAACACTTTCGGTTAAAAAGGGACTCCTTTGTGGCCAAAGAATTAGAAAGTTCACGAAAATAAAATGCCTAATTTTTGGTTGAGTTTTGAGCTGCCAAATATTAGGCCAGAAGTGATCTGGTAAAGGAAAAGATGAGCTAGAGTTGTTCAGATTTGGTGGATGCTCTCTGGGATCATTAATTAGGTATCCTGCTTTAGCAGTATATGAGCCATTTCTATATCCTATCTAAACTAACGAATCAGGTTGGGACTGAGATGGGATGTAAATATTATGAATGATGATGATAAAGGCCGGAACATGAGATGTTCAACACAATGGAGGTCCCAATTACCATTTGATACAAGATTAGCAACTTTCTGGGTGGTATCTATAGCATCTTCGGTAGCATTTTCAGGAAGAAATTTTGGCATGTTACGTATCCAGTGATCAGACCAGACCCGAATATTAGTACCATCACCTACTTTCCAGCAGGCATCTTTTAGCATAAATTCTCTACAAGTAAGTATACTACTCCAAGCCCTCTGGAACCTTTAGAGGCTTGCAAGAAAGACTTATTAGCAAAATAAACAGATTTAAGTGCTCTTGCCCATAGATGATCAGGATTATTAATAAGTCTCCATGCAATATTGGCCAGCAATGTGTTGTTGAAAAGTATAAAGTCTCGGAATCCAAGACCGCCATCTTTCTTTGGGGCACAAAGTTTACTCTACGCTTTCCAATGTAATTTTTTTTTTTTTTGGTCAGAATCAAAGTCTCCCCCAAAAAGGCTTGCCACCATACTATCAACTTCTATGCAAGTGTGCTTGGGAAACTTGAAACAAGTCATTGGAAAAATAGGTATGGCATTTATGATAGATTTTATCATGACTTCTCTACCAGAAAAGGACAGTATCTTACTCTTCCAGCCATGGACCTTTTTGCCTACCTTATCGTGCACATAGGCAAGAGCAGCAATTTTGGATCTACCCCATATAATTGGTAGTCTAAGATATAAACCAGGTTTTGTGACAGCCTTAACCTTCTCCCAGGTTGCTTGGTGAAAATGTCCATTGAATCCATCGGAGCCGAGGGCTTTTGTAGCCCCTAAATGAAAGACAGTTTGCTTGAGTTCCTTATGCAGGAAATGAGCCATTCATTCTGCTCTTCACTCACACTTGGGTGGATGTTTAAAAGAACCAAATTAAGGTCCTTAGTTTCACTGGTTGAGAAGAGATTGCCATAAAAGCCAGAGATTACTTGTGCCATATCTATTTCGGTATCTGTCCAAAGGCCCGTAGGGGTCATGAGTCTCGATATTTGATTTCTCGATCTTTGAATCTGAGTGGATTGATGGAAAAAATGGGTATTTTGATCTCCAACTGTGACCCATTAAATTCTAGACCGCTACTACCAGTAATTCTCCTCTCGTCTCCAGAATTCTTCAAGCTCCGAAGAGAGAGCTTTCAATTGTTGCCTACTTTCTTCAATGAAAGAAGAGCTTTTAATCTTTGCAATCTGATTCAAAAGACTATTATTGCAGTTTTGTTATTGGGAAAATCCCCCTTACTCTCTTAGACAGGGCTTTACTGCATCTTTTAGTGCATGATGAAATTGGGGAACAGTAAGTGCTACTTAAAGATCTTCAAAGTATCAAGGTGTTTTGATAACACCCTTAAACTCAGGAAGAGATGCCCAATTGATTTCATACTTGAAGGAAGGGGCCGATTTTCGGTCTTGATAACAAAAACTAACCCATTGAAGCAACTGATTCTAAGATAAAGGAGAAGGCCTTTGGGAATTCAGTACTAAGTTAGGTTAAAAGCCACAGTTTTTGGCTTATGGCATTGAGTTGAGATGTTGAGTTCTAAAACATTTTGTTTTCTGTGTCCTCATTCTTTCTCTGTCATCTTCTCTCCCTTGAGCCGTGACCTTTCCTTCTTTTTCTTCTCTTTAGTTGCATGCAAGCAACCCCACATATTTTAGTTTGATCAGCTATTTTCGATAATACATTTGAGTCTCGAGAAAATTGTTTAATTTGATTTACTAAGTATAAAAAATTTTAAAATTTAATATTATATAATTGAAAAAACATACCTTTTATCTCTACACTTTGTTTATATTTTGTTATAAATTTTTATATTTTTTTTTATGTTTTGAGTTCCTGCACTTTTATTTTTCGATAAAAAAAATATATTTTTCCTATATAATTTATCAATTAATTCTTTGCATAAGTATTTTTTTTAATTAAAATAGTTCTACCTCTTCTTTGCACAAATATTTATCAATGGTTCCTATTTTGATAATTTATTAATTTACTTTAGATTTTTTTATTGCTATCTTTTTTAAAAAAAATTTTACTTTAAAATCTACTATTTCTTCTTAGTCACAAGAATACACTCTCACCGTTCTTATTACAGAATAACTTTTATTTTTGGATCCTTCATATAAAACATATGGAATGATATTTATTATAATTTTTTTAACTTTACCTCTATTATAAATTTAATTTTATAACTCATTATATACTGTTTATCACTCTTTCTATATTTAATATAGCTAAAGTTCAAAAATGTTTATTATTTAATTCTACCTTTTCAAAAATTAAATTTTTTTATTTATCAATGTATATTTAAAATTTATTTTTTAAAAAATTGTATTTAAGTTTAATGTTTTGTCCTAAAAAAATATATACAAAAAAATTATATCAATGGTTGTCATTATATATCTCAAGTGACTTTTAAGTCAAATCATTCAAATAAGTTTTAATTTACCAGACTAACTTTTGAAAAAAGAATGTTAAAATCACAAACTTTTTTACTAACCTTAATTGATTCTAACATCAGTTGGCAGGCTTTTTAATTCAAACACACACTAAATCTAGAGAACCCATCCCCTCGATAAAGAGTATAGATGAGGCTCATGACTTGGAACACACAAATCCTTCCAATCACGTCTCCGAGAATTAAACCAAGCGGGCAACTTGTGGCAGAGAGAAGAAAATTTTTTGTAACATGCTAAGGAACAGGAACAGGCCTATCTTTTCTGTGTTTTCTTCCTTTTCCTTTATTCTTTATCATTAACAAAGAACTACATTCATCAAGACAGTATGCGACTAAACAAACCTTTTGTACATAGATGCCTAAAAAATTGCCATATACTGCAAAAGAATAGCCTAACAATAGGAAGCCTCAGATATATTACATATTCCTTCAGAAGAGAAGGGATGGGAAAATCTGTACAGCAGCATTTTTAAAGATCTTTCCAAACGTTGTAGTCATTACTTGTGCCATTGTAGTTGATTATACTGTCCTGGCATCCTAAAAAGAATGTACTCCTAATCGGATCTATGTTCACTAATGCATGGGCCGTGCTACAGGGGCTGGCAGCAACAGCAACCTCATCAGCACCAACAATCACTTCAGCATAACCCTTGTCGGCTACCTTCTTGTTCTCCAACTGCAAATAGTTTTCAAGTCTTCTATATTAAATTAAATTGATATACAAATCGAAAGTCATAACATAAAGATCCCAGCTATTTGCCTGATCCTGTTACAGTGCTGATGCCACATGCCTGAGTAGCTCAAATGCACTGTTTCAACAGAAGTAAAATGGTGCACTTTGCCTCTATTCTTCTCAGATTAAAATGGGTCAATTGCAACTATCTATTCATGGGGTTATCTCAATTTTCTATTAAAACACTCAAACCTTTTGTCTCAATTATGTGTCAAGCAATTCACTGAGGAATGCTGAATACCCCCTCATGTGAACAACCAACAACAATAAAAAGAAACCTTATCCTACTAAATGGGGTCGGCTACATGAATTGTACAATGTCATTGTACTAAATCAGCAAAGGGCTGAACCTCATGCATGAATGTTCATTAAGAGACAATTCATCTTGTGCCTTAATGGACTGCAGTTCTAGGTCTCAGACACAACTGAGCATCTGCTGTAGGGAACAACAGGGAAGTTTCTGTGTTTTAGGATTTAGAATGAATGGCTAGGATTATTTCAAGAAAAGATAGCCGTGATAGCCTATTTAAATCAAAGAATAGAGGTGAAACACGTTTTATTCATCTTTATGTTGCGTTTCAGCTTCTCAAACATGTTATGTCAATGTTGTGGTAGGATCAGGCAAACAACAAGGATCTTCCGTGGTGCACAGCAGACACTACCATTCCAAGGTGCAGGGAATCTGCATTAACAAACCTTGTTTTTTTCACCTGGGGTTGCCAGCCGGTGCATGCAGCCAGAAACAGAAAAAACAGAATATGGCAAAAACAAGTAGGCCTTTATTCTTTTTGTTTCGCAAATTAATCTTGCATAGAACCAGAAAGAAATTTGAAATTTTCAACCAACCTATGATTTTCTGGAATCAGAATGAGTTGTTTAAACAAAGGAAAAACATAAAGCTACTAATTTAGTAACTATTTATCATAGAAAGTTAACCCGACCTGAACACTTGGATAGGAAAAGAACAGTTATTTAAACAAACGGATGCAATGTTTTCATCATTAAATTGTATCATGCATATCCGTTTGCAAGCATTTTAGACTGAAAGCTATATTTCTCAACAAAATTTTACATGCAGGGAAACACATAATAGAACCAATTAAATGCTGCCAACTGTTAAGTTGGACACAGGAGCTTACCCTAAATTTTGTTGCAGCACCCCAGATGACAAATGTCTCGTTGCAATTGTGATGTCTGTGATTTCCTCTCACCTTGCCTGGACGAATTTCTCCAACATGAACTGAAGCGCAAGAGACAGCTCCACCTGTAAAGAAGCAGGCTTCTTTTTCAGATTCCAGAAAAGAACACAAACAATGCGCATCCTATTTCCAGCCTATTCAATTAAGAGAGCAGTACATAGACAGTCCGTGAAGTTAAGCTTCATTCCATTCTGAAGTACGTAACTTCAATACATCTAAACTTATGGAACAACAGATCGACGCAAAAGGTGAAAAATCATGGAATGAAAGGGAGCCAATCTCCAAATGAAGCTAATGTACACAGTGAAGTAGTGCAGTTATCGTTACAACACAAACGTACGTATCGCAAAACTAAGAAAGGAAAAAAAGAAAACGCGCAGCAGAAAACAAAGCGAAATATACCAGAAATGCCAGAAGCAAGGGCCAGAGAAACGGGATCAAGCAACCAGCCACGCTTGTCTTTAGCAATTTGGGAAGGGAACCCGGAGCTAAGCCTAACCAAATTGGCCTTCATATCGTCGGCGACGCTCCAATCCGAGGCGGTTCCGATGGAGGAAGGTGGGAATTGGGAAACGCGCTGAAAGCGGATAGAGATCCAAGTGATGAAGAGAAAAAGGCTGAGAAGGAAGGGAAGAGAGTGAGGCCTCTGGAGAAACTGAAGGAGAGAGGCGAGAAAAGAGGGTCGGATCTGGAAGGGGTTATCGGAAGAGGGGCTGTTTATATAGACGATTCTTCGAGGGTTCGCCACCATCGGGCTGCCCCTCTCCGTTTGAGCTCTCATATTTGCTTCTTCTGTGTTGTATATCGATCGATATTTCCGCGTCCTTGAGTTGTATTTGTATCTGTTTGTTTCTTCTTCTAGACAGCGTTTATCTTCCACTCCATTATATTTGGCTTCTCCTTCCTGAGGTCCCCTGAAATAAACTAGATTGACGAAAATAAATGATGATGCGAAGATGTTTATCCACGCATGGTACATTTACTCCCTCGCGTCCCTTTCAAGTGCGTAGATAAAAATATTTTTTATTAAATTTTTAAGTCATTAAGTCGATTTTCATTATAAGTTTTTTTTATAGTGGAAAAGTATGTTGTGGATATATAGTCATATATTATATATAATAAGAATATAATTAAAAATTTATTATTTTTTTAGACAAAGTTAATAAATTTTAATATTCTTCTTAATTCCAGTAAAAACTTGTTAAAATATTTATGAATAAGACCTAAAGAGTAGAGTTTTTTGGCGGGGTAAAAAAGTTAAATGATAATATTAACAATTAAAAATTCTTACAAATGAGAGTAAATCATAAAATGGCAAGAAGAAAAGAAAAGAAAGTTCAGCAGGTCACCGTCTGCTTATATAAGAAACAAAAATAAAACACTTGGGACATTTGGAGAATATTAAACGAGATGTTGTTGATATTTCCCGCTTCTGTAGAGGGAGTAAAAGCACCTTGATGATGAAATATTTGAAGATCTCCGAGCTGACAACTTGATTGGTTAGTTGTTTTTAATACTTAGTAATTCGGATTTTCCATTGATCATGCGTGACATTTCTTCTGATAAGATGATTTGGAACCGTCTCCGTATTGGTAAGAGGTGAAAATTGCCGAGGTCCAATGTCCCTGCCTACTATCCTTGTTTTGCTACCAGCTGTACAATTCCAATTGCAGGCGATCTTGAGGAAATAAAAACGCCATGAGAATTCCTTAATAATCTGGGATGGGAATTGATTAAAAGTACCATGAAGTTCTAAATTCTAATTTGACCCGATTAGGTGCGGAAGGGGAAAAAATCCCTCCTACAATATCAAGTTTACCTTCTTTAAAAAGTAGAGTTAAAAATAGGATAAATAAATAAATTAAACTTTGACTTCTAAGTCCAGTAATATTTTAGACTCTAACTTTATTATTCAATTTGTTCCTCAATTTTTTAAAAAACGATGCAATTTAATTTTTATTATTAATAAAAATTAACTTTAACAATTAGTTAACAAAAATGATATAAAAAGATATCAAAAATTATAAAAAATGATAAAAAAAAACTCTTTTCCCTCTCATGTAATTTTCTAGGTATTTGTCTGTAATTTTTGATGCATTTTATTATCATTTTTTTGTCAAAGGTAATTTTTATTAATGATAAGAGTTAGATTGTACTGTTTTTCAAAAGTTGAAAGAACAACATAATGAATAATTTTAAGGCCTATAATATTATTGGACCTAAAATTGAGAGGATAATTTACTCATTTACTTTAAAAAATATAGGTCAACTTGAATCATATGAGTTGACATCTATGAATGGTAAAAATATGAGTTGAATTAGTTTCAATCTATCTTTTATGAGTTGAAACTTGAAAAAATTTCAATTAAACTATTGTGAATTGGTATGTTAAATGAGTTAACTCACCAATCCATTTTTTTATTAACTTTTTTTTTTTAAATTATACTTAAACAATAAGTTTTAATATAATATTCTATGTCGTTGGAAAAAAAAAATCACATAATAGGTGCATGAGGTAGATCAATTGCATCTTGATTCATTTCAAATGTTTGTGTGATTGAATGAGCTATATAATATGAGTTAAATTAGAATTGGTGATTCAAATGAGCTGAGTATATTTGGGCCAGGGTTAATTCAGATTAATTTCAATAAGCTTGAACTTATGAAAAACTTGAAAAGCTAAATTTGGCCTATTCAAGTCATCTCAAATATCCAAATTATTACTTTTTCATTTTTTTTTAAATAATTATTTTTATTTTATAAAAAATATAAAAGATAAAAGATTCAAACTCTTTAAAAAAAACATTTGGGTTTTAATATTAAAATACATTTTAAGCATTATTTTGTAGATATTTTATATATTAAAAATAATAAATATATGATAATATAAATATTTTTAATTCTTTTGAAAAGATATCTACAATAATGTGTTCAAATTTATAGTATCCTAGCATAACTAAAAATTTAATGAATTAATTAATAGTTAATATATTTTAAAATTATAATTTTTTTGTTTGAGTATTCGGGCCAAGTTTAAATCTAACCAAGCTTGGCCTAGAATTTTCAAGCATATTCCAGCCAACCCAAACATTAAAAAATATTTTATCAAGTCTAGCTTTAAATTTTTCATTTTTATTGAGATTGGCCAGTTAAATTTGGCTTGAATTATCAGCTTTAAATTAAACAATTATTCCTAATTCATTAGGATTAGCTCATCTAGTGTATAAATTGTCTAGCCTCAAATATAAAAAGATCTACTTTTAGTTGGATTATTTCTTTTTTCAATTCAATTTATCCCTTATAATAAGTTATTTAAGTCGATTTATATAAATCAATTCATGTTTCTAACTTTATTAAAGAATGAATTTTTTTTTTCAGATTTAATATAAAAATAACCAAGCTCTCTTATTTATGCCTGACAGAATTAAAACTTTCTTAAAAAATTGAATGCGCCTGATCTAAACTGACGGTTCCATACATTCCACGAAACCTCGAGAATCATTCAACAACAACTTGATGTCTATACATAGCCTGTGGGAGAAGTAGACGTTGTTGTTAGAATCAGGACAAATTGAATTAAATGCAGTTTCTTGAAGTAAACTAGCTCCATTCGGAAGAATTTCAAGGAAAAATGAGTGCATCATGTCATTTATAATTTAATTAATTAAAATATTTTAAATTATTTAAATAAAATTTTAGGTAATATTATTTTAAGTAATTTTACTTACATAATAGAATATATATTTAATTTATTGTCTCTTTTTTATTATTATTATTATTATTATTATTATTATTATTTTTTAATGTTATAATTAGTTTATATTTAATGTCACTTGAATGTCATATTTTTGTTGAATATATTATAAATAATTTGGTGTATTCAATTCATTTAAGGATCATTAATTATTAACTAATGTATTGCCCAATTCAACAACTTATTGATCGCGTTCTCCCAAAAGTGATTGTCATGTCTCCTCTTTGTTGGAATCAGATCAAATCAACAGATTAAATGTGATTTCTTGAAGAAGATCAACGGCATCAGATATCAATGCATGATCACCAATTAGCAACTGATTTAATGCCAAATTCAAGAATTTCCTTGCGAATGAAAAAAATTGATTTAAAAAACGGAAAACGATTTTTTTTTTCAAGAAGAAAAACATCAAAAATGGAGGTGTGACAGTATAAGTGCTTAAAAAGAGAGCCACGCTTAAAGCAAATATGTGAAAGCACTCTAGAAACCAGATGAAAGAACCGTAACCTACCAAGGAAAAACAAAACTAGAGGGTCGTAGACTTGCGTTTGACAATCCAAGCGTAAGGGGCACGATCCTTATAACAAACACTTTTTTTCATCTTCACCTAAGTGATTGTTTGACGGAACAAACACTCTCTACTAATTATCACGAGAAATGAAAAATCTTCTCAGGGAACATAGTCCCTCACAAAGCACGTATATGGTGGGCGGTTTAACGTCGCAACGTTGGCCAACCAAAAAAAAAAAAAATCCTTTGTACAGTACTGTAAAATACAACATTTCAAATATTGCGTATTTTTTACCAAAAAAAAAAGTGTATTTTAATATTTAAATAATCAATGTTAGCTCCGCAGTGTCTTGATCAAAGAGTTAATTATATTACTTCACCTATAAAACGTGGTTCATTTCCTTCTAGTAGAAAGAAGCGATACACTGGACGCGTCTATCATCAACCCCCATCAGTTCGGCTGGAGGTTGGTCAATGGCACTGAAGCTACAATTCAAGGAGCTAATGACCTAATTTAGCAAGTCTATCAGCAACAATAACATAGTTAGGGTCTTAGGGACCACGAGTGGGGCGTAGGATCTTCCCTTTTTCTCTCTCCATTTCCTTAATTTTAACAATACAATTTGTGTGACTTTTATCCCACCATTTAATATCATTATTATCTAAATAATTTATTCTATAAATACTGTTTGAGTTTTTGCGCGTGATATATATATATATATATATATATTAAAAAGGAAGATTCTGGAATTTTTTATTAAAATAAACAGTGTCATTTAAAAAAACAGATGTTATTACATTTTTTCAAACTATTTAATTTAAAATTGTATTCTTATGTTTCAACTTAAAATTATTATATATTTAATCATTATTTTTATAATTATTATAAATTTAATCATTATTTTTATCTTTATTGTATTATTTATAAATAAAAATATTAAAAATTGAGAAATATTAATATGTATATATAAGTATATTTTTTATAAATTTTAAAAATGTTCCTACCAAAAAATTCAAAACTGTTTATATTTTTTACATTTTTCAATCAATTTATAAATTTAAAAAACTGTTTCAGTATATTCATGTGTATATATATCAAAATATTAGTCATAAATTTCAATCAATATGTCACCTAAAATCAAAATGAAGTTTGCAAGTAGGGGAAGTGAAAAATGCTAGACCATATGTTACCGGAAGAACATCGCATCAGAAAAAGGTAAAGATTGGTTTACTCAACACTCACTGGGACGGTTTTTAATTCTTTTGGTAGGAACATTTTTAAAAATTTATAAATAATTAACATTTTTAATCTTTTAAATAATATATTTATATATACACATTAATATTTCTCCATTTTTGATATTTTTATTTATAAATAATACAATAAAGATAAAAATAATGATTCAATTTATAATAAATTGGATTTGAAACAAAAGAATAAAATTTTAAACTAAACAGTTTGAAAAAATGCAATAGCATTTGTTTTTTTTTAATGACACCGTTTATTTGATAAAAAATTCCAGAATGTTTTTCTTAAATGCACAAACTGAAACAGTTTTTTTAAGGATAAATTGTTTAAGTAATAATGATATTAAATTACGACTGATACTTTAATTTGGATGATGAAATAAGAGCCACACAAATTACACAATTGAGATTAAGAAAATGAAGAGGAAAAAGAGAAAAGAGAGAAGGAGAGACCCTGCATCATAGTAGAAGGAGTGGAATATCTCTCATCTTTTTATTTTATTTTTATCTTTTAAATATTAATATTTTAATATTTTACTTTTACCTTTTAAATATTAAAATGTTTTTGTCTTTTGGAGAATGGCAATGAAATATTTTTGAAATATTTAAATGACAAATAGGTTGTACAAAATGTAATAATCATTTTCTAATCTCTAAAGGCTTGTCATTCTCTAAATTGTGATTGACCCTCTCTTTGTGAGCTCTTTGATTTGCTCAAAGTTGCCACTAAAATGAACACCGACCAAAAACATGGAATTAACATTCAACATCTTCCCAAGTTCTTCTACACCATCTGATTCAAAAATCAACATGAACATGTATGAAGCTTGAGCCTTCTACTCAAAAGCTCAAATGGATGACGTGGTGGGACCATTCTCTAGCATGAACAATACCAGAAATCAAATGACGGTTCTTAGTACCTTTAAGCACCACAAGAAGAATAGCCAATTTGAGAGCGAAAGTCGGCACCCATTCTACCATAACCCCAACAGGAAAATCCACCTCCCCTCCAAGTAAGGGCCTTTAGGTGAGGATTTGTACTCCCTTTGGTCCAAAAAAAAGAGCAAGTTTGTATTGGGTGAGAATAAGGTGTAGAATAGCACAAGCTTCTGGAACCTCGCTTGCTGCCTGAGCAGGAAATTGGACGGCCATGGAGATCAGAGAGGAGTTTGGTCGAAGCCTGATAGCATAAAAGGAGTCCCACCAAGGATTTCATTGATGAGACTAATGATGAATATGAGAATAGTGGAGATGATGGTGCTGATGAAGAGGCCTACAAGTGAAGAAGGGTGGAGGTCAGGGACAAAGGCGACTTGGGAATAGAGGATTTAGATTTTAGAGTGTTGGTTCATGTGTTCTATCTATGATTCAAGAGCAACTCCGAAGCGAAACAAAGATCTCACAAAGGGAGGGTGAATCACAGAGAAAATACTGGCCAATATGTCATTTCTCAAAAAATCAAGCAAGTCTCTATAAACTATAAAATAATTATAATGTTTTGTCATATGTATTTATTATTTGAATATTTTAAAGATATTTTACTATCATTTTTCTTTTATCTTTTCCTTCATTCTCATGATGATAGTGAACAATTAGTTGTTCAAGTGGTAACATCATTTTATTTTTTATTTTTTAAAGTGGTCTTAACATAGTTGTGTTGTATACACAAGTGTGTATTTTCCCTCCCTTCATGAAGGGCTCAATTGGAGGTAAAATATTTTTTTTAAAAAACATCATCCTAATTAATGATGAGAAAAACTTATATACTTAAATTTATATATTTACAGTATTTATTTTTAATTAAATCAAGATATGTTGATCTTTTATTTATTATTTATTTTAAAATAAATTCTTATTATTAATATTATTAACAAATTAAAGTTTCCTTGTATTGACTTAATTGAATGAAAATAAAGTTATTTCATCTCAATTTATAAGACACCTCAATTACATATATCAATAAATTTTATTAAATATACTTTACAACTTTACCTTTTTAAAACAAAAATATAAAGTTTAAAAAATACACTTCATTAATACTCTATTTATAAAAGAATATTAAAGATAAATATGCACAAATGAGAAAAATAATATTAAGAAAATATAATTAATAAAATATTATTTTGTCAAAATATCTTTTATTTTATAGTGTCAAATTTTTCCAAAAGTGTTTTTATAAGGGGAGAGAGTATCAAGTATATAAGGCTACATACTTCAATTTTGTTTGGTTGCTAAAAAGAAATGTAACAAAATAAATTAAAAAATAAAAATAAAAATAAGATGATTAAAATATGAAGGAGCATAGATGAATTATATTTATAAAGAAATCATGATAATTTAATTCATAAAATTGGTAATCATGATTCAAATTTTTTTAAGAGTGTGATAATTCTTACATTTATAATATATAATATTAAATTTTATCATATTTATCGTAAAAGGAAAGAATGATTTAAATTTTAGACATTTAGCTATTTTTATGTTTTCAATATATTTCATTCCCATTACTTTCACTTTCCACCAGCCTAACAACAACACTGCAACAACACCTAAGTGTGTGTTTGGTTTTCAGTTTGTCAAAAGTCAGTTTGATAAAAGTTCATTTGACAAAAGTCAGTTTAGTGAAATTTAATTATTGTAACAAAATTTGTGTTTGAATATATTTTTGGAAAAATTAATTTTTTAGTCCTCCAACTTTTAAGTCACTTGTAACTTAGTCCCTCAACTATGACTCGCTGTGACTCAGTCCCTCAACTATAACTTGCCTATGACTCAGTCCCTCAACTTTTAAATCACTTACAAACTAATCCCTTAACTTTTGTTAATTTTTTTTTTCATGTTAACTTCTATCTCACATTAATGAATAAGAAAAAGGTATTTAAAAATAATATATGAGCATTTTTTTACCCCTCTTATTTGATAAAAAAATTTAAAAAAAATTAAAAAATAAGGACCAAGTTATAGGTAAATCAAAAGTTGAGGGATTGAGTTGCAGCGAGTTATAGTTGAAGGACTGAGTCACAGTGAGTCATAATTGAAGGACTGAGTTACAAGTGAGTTAAAAGTTGAAGGGTTAAAAGATTAATTTTCCCTATATTTTTTTAAAAGTCAATTTAACAAACTAAAAGTTATTTAAATTAATAAAAATTTGCTCTTTTAAAATATACTTTTTAATATGTAATGACCAAAAAGAATGTTAATTTAGAATAATTTATAATTTTTATTATATAAATATAATATAGTAGCAATGTTTAAAAAATGTGAAACAAATTTAAAATAACATAAAATTTAAAATGTTAAATAATAAAAAATATAAAATTTAATTTTGAAAAAAAATATGTCATAAAATTTAATATATTAGCAATGGTCACTCTCCACTTGCTCTTACCATACATAAGCTCTATCAAAGGCAACAAAAAATCGTACAAGGCCGTTGCCGTCGGTGTTAACATGAACCCCAGCACATATTGCTTGGTGGACTCACCTCGGGGGCGATCTCCAGATGAATGAAGAGCCAGCACACCAACTCTAGTGGTGAACAAGACAATAGCATTTATGGAGAAAGGGGTGAACTTTTGCCTGACGAGAAGGAAGGCGAAGGCGACGATGAAAGTGAGCTGGGTGGCAATGATTAGAGCGGACGTAGAGACGGGGAGGCAAGCTAAGCCATAAGCATAGAGGTAATCATCGGGGCAGGTGAGAACACCGATGATGAAGGCTGAAAGGAACAGTCGTCGATGAAGAAGAAGGACTTGGCTTGTCAAGAGAGGCAACTGTGAATGAAAGAATTGAATAGGGGAAGGAGGCAGACAGGGCATCTGCCGATTTGAGCCAGCTGGAGAGCCAAACGTGTTTGCCACCGTGGAGGAAGTAGAGGTGACTTATGAGAGGGCCACCGCTGGTGCCTAGATGCTGGAGATGAAGAGCTCGAGATCTGTGACTAGACAGCAAAGGAGAGACAGAGAAGAGAAGGAGGAGCGACAGAAGAGCGACGGACGAGCAACAGACGAGCGAGTGAGAAAATGCAAAACGAGAGAGGCCAATGTTGGTTGCATGTGAAGAAGAAAAAATATGAGGATACCATGATCTTTTATAATATTAGATACCAATTATTAATGTTCACATTGTCTGATTTGCCTTTCAAAAGCTTTTAAAAGTTGAGATACATTTAAAAGTACTTTTAAAAAGCACGTTTCATTTAAAAAGTATATCTCAAGTACCATCTCACATCACATTTCAAAAGTTAAAAATTATATTTGGAGTGTGAGACGTGAGCTTGCCAAAGGCACTTTAAGTCTCACCAATTAATGATTTCATATTTTAATTGTACTCTTATTTTTTAAAATATTAAAATATTCCCCGGGCATCGCGAGGGAAACAAGTCTACTTAACGAGGAGCATAACTGGAGCAAGGGGAGCGACGGAGCGAGCCATGAGAATGCTGAAGCAGACGCTTGAAAGCTTAGGGGCAAACCTTGCATCATCAACAAGTGGTATTCACACGAAATTGAAGAGTTTAGCTGCGAATTCGATCAGGAGATACAGCAACAATAACAGCATACCAGGCTCGGTCGCCAGGGAAAAAGTGGATTGCTTAGTGATCGGGGCTGGTGTTGTGGGCCTAGCAGTAGCCAGAGCACTTGCGCTCAAAGGCAGAGAGGTATTAGTCGTTGAATCGGCTTCCACATTTGGCACTGCCACTAGTTCTCGAAACAGTGAAGTCATTCATGCCGGAATCTATTACCCTCGCAATTCCTTCAAGGTCAGTATATCTGCCATCTATTTGTCTTTGTGCTGTGCCGTCAGGTTCTACTAGCTGATGCGATCGACTCGCTGTACGAAATTCGATTCCTACTTTTATCAAAACTTCTAGTGTTGAAGTGCCGTAACTTTAAAACTAGAAATTAAAAGGGGAAAAATGAATGTGAGTTAAATTTATTTCAACCTTTTAAATTTACATTTAACTATAATATATTTTTTTCCCTTAATCAGATATGTTGGGGTTGAAGAGACTAATTAAAGAAGAACAAAAGAAACAGAAAAAAAAAATTGACATAAAAGGCACCAACTATCTTACAGCATCTACCAAGTAAATATATTGTTTTCTATCATGCTGTATAATTCGGTTGTTTTTGTTTTACTAGTAATGTACCAAAGCATGACTGTAAAAATTATCTATTTAGAATGTAATTCAGTCTGCTTTGCAGGCAAGGTTTTGTGTAAGAGGAAGAGAAATGCTATATGAGTACTGCTCCAAGCATGGTATTCCTCATAAACAAACCGGTAAGCTGATAGTTGCTTCTCGATACTCAGAAATTTCAAAGCTGAATGATATAATGAATCGTGGGATTCAAAATGGAGTTGATGGCTTGAGGATGATGGATGGCTCTGAGGCCGTGAGAATGGAACCTGAATTGCAATGCATCAAAGCTATACTATCACCTCTTTCAGGGATTATTGATTCCCACTCTTTCATGCTGTCTTTAGTGGTATGCATTTCAAGGCTTCTGTTGCAATGTGCCAAATCTAAGTTCTCGCATATTTCTTGTATCAAATTTTTGCTAACTTACCAGCTTGTTTATTTGAAGTTATAATTGTATATGAACCCCCTTGTGGGTCCAGGGGGAAGCTGAGAATAACAATGCAATCTTCTCCTATTATTCAACCGTGATTGGTGGGCATCTTGAAGGAGATCAGATTTGTCTGCATGTATCAGAAACGAAGAGTGTTGAAGAATGGAATGGGAGGTCAATTTTGAATCCAGATCTGGTCCTTATCCCTAAATTTGTAGTGAACTCTGCAGGCCTTGGTGCCCCTGCCCTTGCAAAGAGATTTACTGCCCTACAAAGTAGTGAAGTTGTACCCTCTGCCTATTATGCTCGTGGTTGTTACTTCACATTGTCCAATGCTAAAGTTCCTCCTTTCAAACATTTGATATATCCCATACCAGAGGATGGTGGCCTCGGTGTGCATGTTACTCTGGATTTGAATGGTCAGGTCAAGTTTGGCCCAGATGTTGAATGGATCGACGGAGTTGATGGTATCTCAAGCTTTCTCAATAGGTACATCTTGAAAACCTCTCGGTTTCTGTTTCTCTGCTACTCCTTTCACCCTTCAAGTGTTTCTTGACAATTATTTCACTTATTTTTAACCATTCTAGCCCTTGCTTTTGTTTTGCCAATATCCTTTGGTTCAGGACATGTCTTCTTCTGCTTCTTCTTCTTCTTCTTCTTTTTCTCCAATCAAGCACGGCTAGTGGAAACAGGAATAGAAGCTTTTCATATTATACTGAAAACTTCCTGGAATATGCATATAAGCAAAGTTTTTTTTTTTTTTTTAAAAAAACATCGTAAATGAAATTATCTGCTTATTACAGCTTTCGATTTAACCTGCAAAAAACTAGTCGTTGCTGTCTCTGATAGTGTTTCAAGATGGTATCCGGACTTCATGTCCTTATAATGACTAAATGTTTTGTTCTTTAATTATAAACTTGACACTTGATGCACCTAATTAAATTCATGTCTTTAGTTCCAAATATCGTTTTAGAAATGTGTTTGATTTTGATGAGGTGGTTTAATTAAGATTTGATCCCAGGTTTGACTATTCAGTACCTGCAGAGCGTGTGGAGAAGTTTTATCCAGAGATACGGAAGTATTACCCAAACCTGAAGGATGGATCTCTTGAACCAGGGTATTCAGGAATTCGACCTAAACTTTCAGGACCCCATCAGACACCTTTTGATTTTGTGATACAGGAAATTCTTTATTTCTCTTTACTCCTTAGTTCTTCTTGTCAATTACTTATCTCTTGCACTTTTACCAAAATGAATTAGCAAATTGCATTTGTCAATTGAATCGTCCCATATTTTGGTTTGAGATCCTTCATAAAGGGAAAAAAAAAAAGTCTTGATGTGATTTTTGCAGCTATGATTCTTAGCATGTTCTCCATTTGTTTTATGAACTACATGGCAGCTGAAATGTTGAATTTGATTAAATTGAACATTTCTATTGGTCTTGAGAAAGTAAAATTACCTCTAGAGTACAAAACTAGACGTGCATGAATTGATGTCACATTTTTTTTTTTTGCGAGTAAGAAGCTTGGGGAAAAGGACAAAGCTAGTTAGCTCATATTAAATTTCTTTCCTCAGTCAAAATAATTCATCTCTAATTTTTTCTACCGCCTGGTGTATTTGCGCAGGGGGAGGAAATTCATGGGGTGCCTGGTCTTGTTAATCTTTTTGGGATTGAATCACCTGGTCTGACATCAAGCATGGCAATTGCAGATTATATTTCCGCTAGATTCCTACGATGATGCCTGGTTCTGTTTCTACAATTTGCGCATGCAAGTACTTGTGACAATGTAAAACTTGTAAAAGGTCGAAGCTGTAGCAGTATTGCCATGGACCGTCCACTAGGCGATTTTTTTTCCCTTCTCTTTTCTTTATCATAATTTAATTTTATATACATTTATATGTAATATAAAAATTAAACAAATGAATGATATATAGTATGATTTTATTATTATTTTTTAATATTCAATGATAAATTTATACTAGATATAACATGATTTATAAGGCGCTAGCAATTTATACAAAATATCTTTTTTCGGCCCGAATATTTTCGACTTAAATGATAATAAATCTAAATCCGATCCGGGAGGTGAGGTGATATGCTGATATTCAAATGCGTAGATCCCCCAGCAATCAAGCTTTTGACAATTGGAGCTGCTAAACGCAGTTTATCTAATTCCCACTTTATTTAATTCACACATAAAGATTACTTCCTACCGCGAAATTGGTTCATTTAATTTGTTAAAAGTGAAATACTTATTTGTTTAAAATTATGAAGTTTTTTTGGGAGAATTATGTTGAGTTTTTACATAAAGAAATTAATTATTAAAAGATTCGTTAACAATTGAATTAAGTTAATAGATTTTATGATAATTAATTTTTTTATGTGAGGCCTGCATGTAATTTTGTTTTTCTCTTTCCTTGAGGTACCATGTTTATTTAGCATAACATGAGAATGCAGATAGAGGCTAGGAAACGTATTCAGGAACAGACTGAGGTTTGACCCTCCGGCCATGCACCATTTTAGAATTGCTGAAAGAGGATAATATGATTCGATCGAGACCTTTATGATGGTAATTGTGGGTCAAAATTTGACTTGAGAAGGAAACTCGTAAAAGACGAAGATGAAGTGAGGGAGCAATGTAACATTCTGTTAGTTTATGCTGAAATGCAAAACCGTGCTTCTTTGTATCTCATTCCATGTAATCGATTATCCATTTATGTATATCGACACAGAGCAATCGTTGAATTCTCCTTTATTGTTGTGAGTTGTTTGAATTTGAACTCTACGCTCCCTACAAGTGGATAGCTAATAAAAGTGTTTACCATTACCATTACCATTATTATATCCATTCAAATTCTCTTTTCTCTAAATTATATTTTTATTGCTCAACCATTCTATACTTAATATTTATTAGGGGTAGAATGAGAAAGATAATTTCTTTCAAGACACGATCATTTCTTAATACATGTGCATGATCTCATCCATTGCTTATGTTTGGTATGAAGAAAATATATTATCCAAATAAAAAAATTTTAATACATGAATTTTAAATGTAATACTCTAAATCTAAAATTTAAATTCATGTATCCAAACATCATATGAAAATTAACTTATAGAAGAAAAACATGGGAGAAAACATGGAACCTAGAGGTGGAGTTGAACTGTCACTGTTCACAATTTATTTGGTTTGAAGCAACTTTTAATTATTGTATATCGATATTGATGCCAGCCTCCCTTTATGATGCTGTTCTCATCATGCTTATTATATTCCATATACAACCATCATTTTCCCCTCTTAACAAGTTATCATTAGGCAGCAAAAATCATTCTGCGTGATGTATTTTCGAAACCAAATTAACCGAATGTATCAGAGTATCAAAGTAACGATAGCAAGAGACCCAAGACTTGTAAAAACCGTACATGTAGTAAAACAATTCTGCATCAGATGATCATCGCTAGCACAAAACAACAGCACATTGAAGAAAAATATCACTTCTACCTAAAAAGAAAAAAAAAAAGGGAAGGAAAATATCAGCTTTAGTTATCTAAAGCAAAAGAGCGTTCCAATAATTGTGCAAAAATTTCTATGAATCCATGAAAACGAGGAGTGGGTGATCGCAAGGAAGATGTCAGAAAGAAGCCGAACTTGTTCTGCGAAGCTGATGCTTACCCTCAGCTGGTGGAACAAGCGGCAGCACTCTCTCTATTTCCTGCATGGAAGATTCAGTGAGAAAATCATCGCCATGACTATTGATGAATTATCTAACGAGTTATTCCTGCACTCTGGCTTTTTGCATCAATAGTGTAATTGTTCAGCAAATGCCAGGAAAATAAAAGAACAATGATTAACCTGATAACAGATCGTTGGTTAGAAATTATAAACTTTAATTAGCTAAGTTCTATGGTCCTTCGTGCTAAAACCTTCATAGTTACATTTTGTGTCTAGAACAGTCCTATGCATTCATAGACGGGAAATGGAGCTAATCCTTTCACCTCTTAAAACAGATCTTGCATAGTGTTTCCATGAACTGAATTAAAAAAAAAAAAAAATCAGTTTTCCCCCAACTACAGGAATTTCCAGCTTAGTTTAATATAAGCTTGTGTTCCTGAATTTTGGAATCTAATAGCACAAGACCTTGAACTCTCACCATTTTTAGTTCTATACATGACTTGCTTAATCCAAGATATAACACAGCAGATATCCCTGAACAAGCAATGGCCAAACCAACTCTTAGTTATCAACAAATATTTCATCCATTTATTACTTTACAAAGATATCAGGAAAGAGACCCGACCAACAAATATCAGTATACGTCCCAGGGGGGGGAGAAAGAAGTAAAGAATAATAGCAAACAAGAAAAACAAAATGCATATTGTCAAGGTATTGAGACTTACATGCTGTCTTCTAAGCCTTTCATTCTCCTCTTCTAAATGTGAAATTTTAATCTCCAGCTCATTTGTGTAAGCCTGTCCATTGACATAGATACAGTCAAGTGTCAACTTATAAGACAGATGCACCTCAAAGAACTAATAACACCATACAAAAGAATATAACCTGTTTTCTAGCTCGTGACCGAGCTGCAGATTCCCTATTTTTTATCATCCTCTTCTGTCTCCTCTCCATGGTTTTCTCAACCACATCTCCAGAGGCCTCCCTCTTCCTTCCCGGACTATGTGTGTCTGGTAACTTACCCATCAAAGAAGATGGTGACATTGTTGCCACCATATTTTCAGAGTAGGATGAATCCGAAACTGGGTTTGATACTGCTGGCAAAGGTTGTTGTTGAACTCCAAGGCCAGTCATTAAACCTGCCATTACATCGTGATTATTTTGATGCTGGTGCAGTGAAGAGAGCTGGTATTGAATCCAATGAGCTTGCTCTGAAATATTGTGTTCAGAAGCCATATTTGAATCCGAAACCACTCCTGCCTTCACAAGGAAATCCTCAAGGGTCATCTCACCCAATTTAGTTTGTCTTTCTTGAGATTTCGTCACTTCCCTAGTGTTCTTCTTCTGTTGCATATCTTTCCAAACTTCATCAACAGTTTTCTTTCTAACATCCTCAGATAATGTCAGGCTGCTCTGTCGATTCAGAGACGACCCAAAAGCTAGCTGACCAGTACCTTCTGCAGTGCCCACACTCTTGAGCAGTTCATCGAGGTTCATGCTGCCTAGTGGCTTCCCAAAATTTCCAAGCTGGTTTTGCACTTCATCAAGAGTCAGATTGTACAAGGATGATCCTTGGTAAACCGAAGATTGTGCCTTTGGCTCTTGGGTTGCTTCCCCTTGGGATCCCATTATCTAGGCCACACCACCGGCCTACAACCCTATAGTATATCTTTCATGCGAGAGATAGGTCCAATTTAGAAGTCGGCTACAGAGTGAACTGAAAGCCCACTGCAATGTCTAGACGGAGATTCAGCAAATAACTTGGTGATGAACCTGAAACCATAAAGAAAAACCAGAATATGCCGTCTAATCAATCCAAACGCAAACAGACTCCTTTGATTTTAAGGTTTGGTGAAAGGCGTTCACAAATTAAAAAAGCACGCAATATAGAGTGGGATGGAAAAAAATTGACCCCAGAAGAAAAATATAAACCAGATCAGATTGGAAATTGCATATGGTCAGTGAAGAAAAGAATTGCAGACTTCACTCAAAAGTGGGAAGCATCGCAGAACAGAAGGTCCATAAAGTCAAAAACCAACCATGGATGGATGAGATTAAAAGCTATCAACTATTTGTGCGTGTTAATTATATCATCACCACTTAGCTGAGAACAAAGCCAAGAATTTGGATTTGCACAGTAGTCAACGCAAACAAAACTGTTTCAGAAGACCGTTGCTTACAGTGTCAAAAAGGAATCAAGAGTTCATACATAAACAAAATTTTTCTTTGTAACTGCTTCAGTTTTGGCATTGCATCTACTTTACTGCAGCTCAGGCTCTAAACCTCAGGGGCAAAGATGAGGCCTTTTCATTTCCCTTGGGTATGGGGACACCAAACCCCCTAGGCGAGAAAGAAATATATTAATTATATTAAATAAATGGGCAGGATATATATCTAAGATGGTAAATTAACAAAAGAACCTACATTCCTCTCTTTCCTGTCTCTTAGGTGTTTTCTTGCAAGTTTTCTGTTAGAATTTATTTTCTGGTGAGTTCCCCCACATGTGCTTTAGCATGCAAGTCTTAATAAAAGATGGAGATGATATTTAACTAACCATTAACACGTAGTTTTTTTTTAAATGAAAATAATTAGACTTGATAGATAAAGACTATGATATAACTTCTTGGTTGAACCAAGAGGCCAGTGCAAGCCTGCAAGGGCTAACATGAGTTGGTGCATAAATTATGTGGATACGAGAATCAGTATGATAACCAGATAATTCTTGAGTTTTCACTAAGAAAAGGAAAAAACTAATCCTCAACTTCTCTGTGATTTTCAAGTGGAATTTCCCAGTTTGAAAACTGAGAACGAGAGAATAACTCAAAACAGAGGGAATCTGAGGAGCACATGCGCCTGAGACAGTAAAGATGTTGAAGACATGAAAAGCGAAATTTCTCAACTGGTTTTACAATGAACACCTGATATGTATTGCGGAACTCTTATATGTCAGCAAAGGTCTTCCATTAAAAGAAGAGGAGGATGAGGAGGAAGAAGATCATTTGGTAAGCCCCAGACAGCAGTCTTCATCAAAAATCGCGAAGAAAGAGAGCGTTAAGAGAGTTTAGCTTAGCTTAGCTTAGATAGGTATCAACTGACGAAATCAGTGACGGTTTTGGAAACTTCCAACTGCATCATCTGATGGTCTGATCTGAAATGGAATGAAAATGAAGAGACAAAGTCATAGAATGGCACATGTAATGCATGCATAAGAATACGCGTGGGCATCCCACCGAGGAGGACACCCACGTGCACGTGTTCTTTCATCAATCTACAGGAAATAAACATCTCATAGCACTCTCGATTACTCAATCTCTTTCTGTTCTCTGAGAAACCAAGTGGCAGGAACTTCATGCTCAGGCGATCTCTTTAATGTATTCCACCAATGAAAAGTGGGCATTTTTTTTAACAGCCTCGTGGTACTTTAACAGCCGTTGCTCAGAAAATAACTGAGATAAGTCACCCATGTTAAACATACTTTATTATAGTTAAGGTTACCAACTTAGCATCATTGTTTTTGATTGCCTCTCTGCCTGCGTTTGATTCATTACCTTTATAAAAGGTTGCTTTTTCGAGGGATTTAGGGGCCACTGCTCTGTCAGAAGACGTGGCGGACGAGGAGCATAAGCGGTTGGCGGCAGGTACGAGGATTGAAAACTTGTTTGCAGAAAACCCATTACAGAACAGAGCACATGATGCAGCGCATTTATGCCATGATGTGATAATAACTTGGAATATAAATAATCCCTTTCTTTATATCTTATCATTTTCATCTTTCATCATGCCCATCCCACTAAGGCAGGTCGATGTTGCTATCATTATATCTCCAAAATTTCTTTGTTGGATATTAATGATTCTTCACCTCACCGATCATTGTAAGTGGATCCCGTGTAGGTTCTGATAAATAGACCATACTGATGGCCATTTTATGAATTGTGTAATTTATTAATTTTTTTATTTTATACTGAGATTGATGTGGAAGAAATTCTTAAGCTGGGAAGGGAAATAAATTATTAATATTATACGCCAGCACTTGAATTTTAGGAGGCACGGGCTGATGAAGAGTTGCTTTTGGTTCTCAAATGAAACAGTATTGTTTCTGAAATAAAAGGAGATGGTAACGTAAATAGAAAGCCTATTTATTCCCTTTTCATTTTTTAGGCCAACTTTTTCTCTTTGCATATTTTATATTATTGAAAATTTGGGCCATCCATTAATAGGATGATATATTATTATTTATGTTATACTTAATTAATTAAAAATCATACTTAGCATTTATATTTTTTAATTTAAAATTGAAAAGGAAAAGGGGGAGGATACTTACATATAATCGGTTTTTATTAGGCGTGTTTTTTTAAAGATACTATTCAAGCTAAGATGAAATACTAAATGTGAGTGTCTTACCCTGTGGAAGTGTAAGCCTTATTCTACTAAACTTATCTCCCATCAATATATGTAATTATTTTATCATGGTCAAAAAATGACCTTTTTCATTCTCCATGAAACTCGTCTTATCCCTCTTGCTCGTGTTCTCTCTCTTAGTGGAAGTTTGGGAGAAGACTCTTCCAAGGTGCCATTAACTGTGAACAGAAGTTGGATTCTATATGTGATTCCAATCAACCACTTGAAACAAAAATGAGAAGTTCTATCAAACGGAAAAAGGTGCGATTAGATTTTTTAGCTGACAAGGCATGTGATTTACTGATTTTCATCTCCTTTCTAAATTTCTTCATATATCTTTTAAACCAAATTAAAAATTTACTTCATGAATTTTAAATTTAATAACATCATACAGCCGACTCATTTATTATATAAATTATTTTTTTAAATTTTAAAATAGTATAATCTAACTTTTGTTATTTATAAAAGTTAACTTTAACTATTAGTTGGTCAAAAAATAAAAAAAATCTCAAAAATTATAAAAAATGATAAAAAATTATAATAAAGGATTCAAAAATTATGGATAATGAGAAAAAATTGATTATTTTTTGTAACTTATGATTTCATCTTCTATCATAATTGGTCAACTGATATGAAAATTAACTTTTGTTAACAGCATGAGCTAAATTGCATAGGTTTCAAAAGTTGAGGAAAAAATTTGCATAAAAAACAAGTTCAAAGTCTATGGATTTAATATTAAGGAAATAATTTACTCATTTACTTTTTCTTTTATTTTCTTATTTTAAAAGTAGTTCATGAATTTTAACCAAAATTAACATGTTGGCCAAACAAAAAAGCTGAAGTAAACTATTTTTTATTGTACATATATACTCCCTTCATTCAAAAAGGTAAGACATTTTTAATCGAATCTTACCCCAGATAAAATAATTATCTATTTTTAAACTAACTTTATCTTTTTATATTTATCCATATTAAACATTTTAAAATAAATATAAAGTCACTATCAATAAGAATACTTTTTTTTAAAAAAATAATAATTACATCCCGAAAGACTAAAAATACCTTATATTTTTTAACATCCAACTCCTCAAAAAATGTATTACATTTTTTATTAAAGAGAGTAGATGTTTTTCTTTTATTTTAGATAATCTTATTCGAGATATGGTTCAATAATAAATATGAGTACCTCTTCCAAAAAATTTGAATCATTTTTAACACGTTGTAAGGAACTGGTTTCTTTTGTTACACCCAATTTCTCGTGAGTTTAAAATAAATTACAATAATCTCCAATTGATGCAGCAATGCCAAGTGAATTTGCCAATAAGTTGGAAGGCTGGGGCCTCGTATCTTTCAAATGCTTTTAAGATATCGTACTGGTGCGATTTGATTCCAATCGGCCAATTAAATTATCCGAAATCGAAATCGAAATCGGAATGGCGTATTTTTGTTTAACAAAAATAAAATGCTTTGATCAAAAGCTTAACCATTTTAGCAATGCATTTCTAGGCCGTTGTTCTCATCCTTGGATTTAATAATTTTCGATGTTCACGTCTTAAATTGTTAATTCAGCAAACTAACATTAATTTATTGCTTTAGGGTCTTCTTGTGAATGATGCCCTTCTCAAAGCGTGCAGTGCGTGAAAAGAGCCAATTTTATTTATTATAAAAAATATATACACTCACTAATGTTAGAAAGCAATAACAACCTGTAAGGTAGAAAAGAAACACTTACAGTACAACCAATAAAGCCAAAAAAAAAAAAAGAACAAAGAAAAGAAAAACAACAATACAATCAAGAAAAAAGAACACGCTAACCAATACCTCTGAGAGTTAGACTTGAAGCACAGACCTCATGAATCTTCTCTCTTCGCTTGACTTTGTCTAGCAGATCAACCAACAAAGCAGTAGGCAAAGGAGGTGTTGCTATGAAAAGCCACTCATTGAATATCATGAGGTCTACTAAAAGACACTATTTCCTCCGTGAGAAACCAAAGAAACCATGACATTTGGCCTCAATCCTTTAAGCAAAAAGAGTTCTGCAAGCCAAGCTTCGCAAGACCAGTCACAACCAGCACTAGAACCAGATTTTATATACCTGAAAAGAACTTCACAATTAGTTTCAGCATAAAGTTTCCCAACAAACCTATCATAAGCCAGAAGAGCTTCCTTGGCTGCAAGGCATTCAACCATAAAACTATCAACAGCCTCCATCCTTTTCCCCAAACCACCACAAAAACCACTACTATCTCTATAAACCACCCCTCCACTAGCCACACCATTTCTTTTCAAAGAGCCATTAAAATTAATCTTTATAAACCCCACCTCACGTGATCTCCAAACCTTAAACCTGTCAAACAGAGGCTATTTTCTTCTGTGAAAGCCAGTCTCAGCCGCCTCCACACCCCCACACTCCTCAACTAGTCTTGTTGCTACATCAACCACTCGTCGAGGCTCCAAACTGGTCTTGTTGAAGACCCAATCACATCGAGCCTTCTAAATGCCCCAGCAAAGGGAAGCAACAAAAGACTTCCCCAAATCATCCAAATCACTATTCCTTAAAAACAGCCCTTCAAGCCACACTTCCATAGTAGTAATGTCATCTTCATCAATATTCAAAGAGAGAAAACAACCAAACCAGGAACATTTACCCTATTAACACAGTAGAAGAAGATGCTTGACGGTCTCAACGTCCTCTCCACATACAGGGCATAATGGATCATTCGAACATTTTCTTCTAAACAGAGCATGCTTAGTAGCTAGCATGTTATTCAGCAAT